TACCTTATCTCACATCGAATGTCAATAGAAAATTAGAAGATGATCCGATCGAATTGGATAATTTTTTATCGGATCGGATATAGGCAGATCTCATCCATATCCGATTTATTTACAGTCCTACTTACACCCCATTTGTTTAAATGGATATATATTATTCTTTTTCTATATTCATTGATTCAAATTAATTAAATTTCATGTTCATGAATCAATTTGATTGTTCTCATATAATTCCATTATTTATTTGCGTGCATGTTTAATAATTAATATTCAATTAAATATATATTGAAAAGGAAAAGTAAGGTATTATTGAAATAATTAAATTGTAGTATGACTAAAATGTCGAGAAAATGATTCTCACTCGATGCGATATTTAATATATTATAGATATATTGATGAAAGATACATGGTTAAAAAATAAGAAAAAAAATTTATGTTGATTTGTAATATTATTTTGGGTAAATGGCACATAATGCCTCACATTTCACTATTTTTGTGCGAAACTTTCTACCTATCATTTGTTGACATTTTCACATTGGTTATACTATTTGTCAATTTCCACCCAACTTCTCTGTTAAGTAAACATGTATGTCAATTTTTCTTTTCAATTTCTTTTAAATGCAAGGGTATTATTGTCTTAAAAGATTTTCCCCTTTCTTCCCGTTTGAACCTGGGTTGCACTGCCGCCTCAAACTCCAATTCTGTGAGATACAGTCGGAAGTTACCATATTGAAATTGAATAATTCTCTAGAATTGAAGCAGTGCCATATTGAAAAAGAGGACAGAACAAAATGCATTGTGAGATTGTCATCTAAGGAGGAATTGATGGAAGAAGTAGAAGAACAATCTCTTTTGATCAAACTCCAAAGCCTTCAAACTTTGCGTCTTTAGAATTTGCCAAATTTTGTTGGTCTCGTGAAGAGTGGAGGAAGAGCAGCAGCATCACCTCGTCCACATGGTGCATTTTCCCAATTTGAAAAGTTGGAGATTTCAAATTGAGAACATTGAAGTACTTAGGCAGGTGCACAAGGTTTGGGAATAAAAAAAGGTTCAGGTTTTTCTTTCCATGAAAGAAGGAATTTCAGTACCACCAGT